ATGAGTTTGCCACACAGGAGTACAGTGCTCCCTGCACCACAGGTAGGGTACCGAGACCCCTTCGCTTCACAGTTCTTTACATCTTCTTAATTGTATTTTTTAGTCTTCCAGGCAGTGCTTTTCTCTTCATGCTTGAATTTGGATTACATTTGCCCGTCTTACAGGTACAGATATTGCATAGAAATTGAGAGCATGTGAGTTACAGTGTTGTTGTCTCCCAAGAGATGGCAAGTTTGGCTTTGGTAGCTACTACCTCGAGCAACAGCTGCTTCCTGCTCAGCTACCTCCTGCCCAAGCAGAAGGGTTGTCTCTCAGGAGGCAGGTGTGCCTCATGACCCTAGGCAGCCATTCCTCAGACTTGGTTTGGAGACTGAGCTGGCAGGACAGAAATACTGCGGTCTTTGGGGGGGGGGGTGTTCTCTGCAGCACAAGGCCGCATGTGTTTAGCTTCGGAGCACAGGTAATGTCGAGCTTCTGTAAAAGGTCCTGATCAAGGATATTTTTCTCATCCTATGTGGAGTCTTCCAATATGAAGAATGGCAGGTCTTGCTTCCCCACAGTTGCTCAGTTTCACGTGTTTGGAATATGGAGGCTTCTGTAAAGCAGAGTTCCTGGGAAGTGGTTTTTCACAGGGCCTGACTGTGCCATCTGAGGGAAGAGAAAAAATGATCTGGACTTGGAGAAGGCAAAAGCTTTGTCACTTGCTGGTGGTAAATGGTGAAATTTATCTCCTTTCATGTTCTTACCTGGTATCTTGGAAAAGAACCTGAACTCCCACACTTTTACTCCATTCTACTTGCTAACCTGGGCTGTGTCCATAGATACAGATGTGTTCTGTTGATTTTGGACCTATAGCCTCAGTTCATGGAAAAATGCACATAAGTCCTGATGGACCCTGAGTGGATAGTAAAGCATTTCCAAAGGATGTATTGGTGTGGTCTGGTCATTCAGTCTGAGACTGGTGGGGAGGCTTTAGATTTTAGGCTACTCTTCCTCATTTCTGTTAAAAGGCAGAGTTTTTATCTTCCTTGAAAAGGGTAATGGGAAATTGCTGGTTAAGAAGTTCATCCCCTGGTCTAGGTGTACAAAGGTAGTCTGCACTGACTTAAAAGGCAAATCTCAGTTGCCAAGTTTCCTTCCCTGCTCTGAATAGTAGGACAGTAGAGTGCCATAGGTTCCTTCCACTCTTGGCAGAGAAAGAAATAGAGTATGTCTTACTGCTGCACAGAACATCCTTGCCTGTTTGCACTGTGCTCCTGCGTACATCTCAGTTGTGACAAATCCTTCTCTGTTTATCTCTCCCAGTGGGTCATTATGAATTTCAGCCCTCTCTCAACCTCACATAGCCCTGAAGGTGACATGAGTATCGAGTGCTGTGGATGACTGTCAACTCTGGTGAAACAGCAACTCACTCTCCTGTTCTGTGCTTCTCACACAACCTGGCTTCCATATCCACATCTTGTTCTCTCTGTCATTCGTTCCGAGAGGGGGAACTGACATATCTCTCTAACTTCTCTCCCCTCCCATCTTCTTTCATTCTTGCAGAGGAAGTGGACCAGGGCAATGCATGAAGAATACTCCCAGATGCTGGAACCCACCTGCCTCACTACCACCACCACCCCCTATGGAGTGACAGATGAATAATGCCTGCAAGGAGTGGGAAATTAACTTTACAAATAAATTAACTGTACTCACCAATGATTTTTGAACAATTTATTCCCAATTCTGATTTTTCCTGCTCAGCTTTCAGTCACAGCTTTAATCTCCCTGGCTTCTTAAGTTGAAGAGTATACCATCCAGGAATGCCTGTATGCAGGGTAGTAAGACTGACAAGTGAGGAAGAAAAAAAGAGGACCAAATGATTTAAGTTGGGGTCAGCCTTTCTAATGTATCTCTATCTGTGCTATGTTCTTTGAACTTGTCATCTGTGATCCTGTATAATCAATGGAGAAGGACAGGTACTTCTTGGGAACAATTTCTCTCCCCTGGCTTAGAAACCATAACCTTGATAGAATTGGTCTCTGCTGATGGCTATCCATGTCTCCCACAGGTAGGCAGCCTGGATGATCAGCTAATGTTAAAAGAAATTCAACCTCTGTGATCTTACCTGTAGACAGCCCTTTTGGGATTGTTTCTTGTTTGTAGAAGAGTGGAAAGAGATATAGTCTGCCCTCTTCTAAGATTAGAGTGTATGGTGGCAGGAGGAATGTGTGCATGCATTATGCCATCAGCTGCTAACTTAGCCTGTTCCACAGTTGGAGCTTGGGCCTTCTTGTGGAAACTTCCATACCTTGTGTCTGCTGCTTCGGGGAGATTCCGAAGGAGAAGCTAATGGCATTTGCCTGTAACCTACCTGCCTAAGTCTAGTCGAAATGGCACATTTATTTAAATCATAGAGTTGCTTTGATGAAACTCTCTATAGGCCTCTTATATATCTCCAGGAATGCTCCCCTTTTCTTGGTTTTGTCTCATTAATTTGTGGGTTTAACTTTTTAAATGCCGAAAGATCTTACATAACTGTTTATTCTCATGAAATGCTTATTGTTAGGTATCATGGCACACTGTGTATCCAAAGTATGTTCCACCTGATTTCTTTCAGTGAGCCTGTACAAAAAATGTAATTGAGAATAAATAAAATTCTTCATCTATTTTGCTAGATATTAATATTATGTCACTTTGTCTTCTGTGGTGTTTGGCATTTACATATTCAAGACCTTTACACACCTCATAATCAGAGAAGTCTATGGAATGAACCACCTTCAGTGAAAGCTGAACAGTATTTCCAGTCCAGCTAATTGCATTTTGTTTTGATTTAGAAATAGTAAAGCCATCTATTTTTTTACCATTAGGCAATTACTTTTCCAAGTTCTGAAAACAACATAGGCTTTGGTTGCTGAATTAAAATGTTTGAATTTTAGACCACTGTGATTTGCCTTTGAAGCATGCCATGCATGCTCCATGGGGATAGAAATTCAATATTCCAGCATTCCTATACTTCCTTTAGCCTTGCTAAAGTTTCCTAATGGTATACTATGGAGGACATTCAAGAATGTGACTGATGATTCACAGTCTGGTTGAGCAGAGAAATGTCAAACTGCTTCACAGATACAGAATGGCCAGGGAGCTCCAAATGCCAAGTGATGTGGCTGCCCATGGGCAACAGGTGTTGATTAATTTAAAACCAAGCAGCAGCAAAACATGGAACATACTCCAGTAATTTTACAGACTTTTAAATTAAATTGTCATGATGATCATTTTGTTTCTTTTGAGGCAGTAAAGATCTAATGCCGTAACCATGCAGAGTTCATTTACTTACCAGAAAGCAAACTAGGATGAAGGAGCCGTTGCCATCCATCTACAGTCTGCAGTAGAGGATGGTCTGTATTTGCAAACCTGTGTGTGAATGCACAGATTCATTGACCTGTCACTTCTGAACCTGCTTGCCCCTAAATAATAGTGTCAGCTATATCACTTCAGCACAGTCAGTTTCTCATGACCCATAGCAAAAGGACAGATATAAAAGGGGCCAGAGCAAACTGCATTCCTCACACAGTGAGGAATTCTGGCTCAAGAAGGGGAAAGAGAGTCTTGAGACATCCACATGGATGATAATAATGCTAAGAACATCAGTGTCACTGAAACAAATACAGGTCCTTTACTGCATCAGTGACTTAAATTTTTGACAATCTGGGTTTGTGTACATGAAAGAAGCTACAAGAGGGACTCCTACAGGTGTGTTTTCTTCAGCTTGCATTGGAAGGGTGAAAGGCACCTCTGCACATATAATGTGTATGGCCAGTCTTCGCAAACGAAGATTTGGGAAAGGTCTTTACCCTTTGAGCCTGCGCAATGGATTTTTTTTAGGTGAGACACAGCGTGCGCTGAACTGAGCCCACCCTTTAATCCTAAGGTTCATCTGCCGGGGCCGAGCGAGCTTGGACAGTGGCAGTGAGGTCCTCAGGACGTAGGTTTGTTTAGAGTGACCTTCTCTTAGATGGATGGCCTTACAGGGCTGACGAGCTCCATCTGCCCGGAGGAGTTCCCTGACCTGGAATCACATATAAACATGTAAATAAAATACACATGGTTCCATATGACCTCTTAAACTGAGGTTGATTGCCCTTGCGTCCCTGTGAGAGATCTAGACCAGAGAAAATGTAATCTTTCAAAAAACTGACATGCCTAATGTTTAACCCAAACTCTCAGAATCCATGGCTTCTCCTCTGAATTCTACTGAAGCACTGTAAGCCTAGTTGCAAGGGAGAAAAAAAAAAAGTATTAAAATTATTAAAAAAACTAGAAGACAGCTACAGGCCTCCAGTGAGGGGTAGAAGATAAGGTTCTCATGAAAAATGCAAGGGGTTTGGCTCATAGTGTGGTTCTTGGTTGAAATTCTAAGATTATCTTGAGTGCCATCACTTGGCATGTACAGGAGAACCAGGCAACCAAGCAGGAAAGGCAGGTCCTCCTTGACTAACCTGTTCTCCTTCTATGACAGGGTGACCCACTTAGTGGATGGGGGAAAGGCCATTGACACAAGCCTTTGACACAATTTCCCACAGCATTGATGTGGAGAAACTGACTGCCCATGGCTTGGACAGGTACACTTTTCAGTGGGTAAAAGCCTGACTGGATGGTTGGGCCCAGGGCGTGGGGGTGAATAATACTACATCCAGCTGGCCTCTGTGTCCAGTGGTGTCCCCTAGGGCTCAGTGTTGGGGCCAGTCCTGTTTAATACCTTCATCGATGATCTGGATGAGGGGATCAAGTGCACCCTCAGCAAATTTGCAGAAGACACCAAGTTGGGTGGGAGAGTTGACCTGCTGGAGGATAGGAAGGCTCTGCAGTGGGATTTGGACAGCCTAGATCAATGAGCCTAGGCCAATGATATGAGGACCAATGCTGGGTCCTACAGTTGGATCACAACAACCCCATGCAACCCTACATGATTTAGCAGTGGACTTCACAGTGCTGAGTTAATTGTAGGACTTGGTTGGACCTTAAAGGTCTTCACCAACCTAAAGAATTCTATGAATGACACTGTTAAGATCCCCGTCCCTCTCTGTTTTCACTTTAGCTGTTTAGCAGCAAGCAGACAATATCTTCACTGCTAGAACAAAGTCTACATGTCTTCCCTTCGCTTCTATCTAGTCTGCTGAGAAAGATTACACTGTCCTTCCATCTCATAGCAGCGACTTCACGGTGAGATCAAAGGTGATATGTGATCAGAGGTTTTTGTCCAAGGATCATCTTGCAGAAAACATCCTCTTTTAGAGTCAAAGAGAATGGATCTGGTAGGATTTCCTTTCTTCCTAGAGAACTGGCAAGTATGGACACAAATCTCCCAACTACTAAAAGCTGTCTGCCTTCTGATATTTCCAAACACCACCTTGCCATGGATGGCTCTGGATTGAAATCTCAGGCCATTACACAGTCAGAGCTATGGATGGGAGGAGAGACAAGACACAGTAACAGAAAACAAAGCCAGACACATCTGATGAGAATCAAGACTTAATTTATTTACAGTGTTACTTCCTTTGTGTTTTTGAGGTGTCCTCCTCTAATGTTTCAATACCCCACCCTCAACAAGAAGATCTTCTAGGGGCAGAGATGTATGAGCTGATACAGCAAGACTCAGACAAGATGCATTCTTCAGGAATTTCCCTGTTCAGCCTTGACTGGAGGTCAGAAAAGGACAGAGTGAGATAAGTATTCTGGTGAGCAGTGTCCAGAGTCCTGGACATCTCTGTGTTCTGGTGGCTATGTGAGTTCAAGCCCTGTTCAACTCTGGGAAACTGCTTCACCTAAAAATGCCCAGTTCCAGATAGATAACAGAATGGGAGTGGCTAGACATGTTCAAAATATCTATGCTACAGAGAGGGGAGGGGAGGCAGATTTGTCCTGGAGATACATGAGCTATCCTAATACACATTCTCTCTCAACAATTGGATTTCCCAAGGGAAGGCAAAAAATAATACCGAGCAGAGTTTGAAAGGTCCTCAGCAAAGACATGTGGATAACATGAAAATTTCACCAAGATATTTGGGAGACAATTCCTCAGTACATTTCAGTGTCTGCAGCATAGCAGACGTGGCCCAGAAAAGGGCAGAGACACAAAATGCTGAGTGTTGTGTTCCATCCCAAGGGCGACTTCAATCTTATTTGCATAATGTGACACAAACACAGAGGAAAAGATGATTGCCACTGTGCAAATGAAGGCAGTAACACTGAGATTGCTATTCTCAGTGAATGAAAATAAAAGCTGTATCTGATCTTACACAGGAAATTGGGTGGCAGCAGTGCTTTTGGTTTCTGTACTGAGGCATGCCAAGAGACTGCAGTAGGCACAGTGAAGATAAATGCAGTATACACAGGCTGAGTATACACAGACTGGGGAAACGCAAGGTCTACAAAGACTTTAATTCAAGAGAACGTGCAATAGCCCATGCTGGAGCTTCTCAGTTGTTCATGGGCACCTACCTGTGGTGCAGGGAGCACTGTACTCCTGTGTGGCAAACTCAT